AATTATTAGCAATAAGCAATTTTCCGATGGGTTACTTTCTTTATTATTCCATCGCTAAAAGAAAATACCGATGAAATATATAGGTTTATTAATGAAAAAATCTATCGCTAAAGTCTTAATTTTTTGTGGTGATACTTCTCGGATAAGACATAAAGTTGCATTTCTTATAAAGCTCTTGCTTCTCCAAGGATATGGCATCACAGATTGGGACATTCTTTATGTCTTGTACTCCATTCAACCAAGCATTACAATAGCTTAGAATTATTAAATTTCTTAGCTATGAATACAATTTGTGAATCCTATCAAATAGTGAAGATCACAAGCCACCTTTCGAAACTATTAGTTGTCTATCACCTTAGCCTTTATTTATTATTAATTGTGATAATTAGGGTCGTATTCCTATTGCTTATGTTGGTGATTTTTGATATTACATAATTGTTGTTAATGAATTTAGCTTATTCACACGGATTTATCATCTTCGACATGAACTCGATCCACTAGTTGCGTTATTACTTTCAAGAAAACAGCTAAAAATTTATTCTCTTTGCAAGTTAAATACTTTCAAAGTGATGGCGTACTCGAGTTAATTAAAAGTACACTTGTATTTTATATTTGTCAATTTGGTATCATTATTAGAATCCTCTTATCCTCACACAACCGAATAGAATGGAATAGCCGAGCATAAACATGGATATTAGCTCGTTATTTGAAGTGAGGATGTTAAAGAAGTATTGGTTGGAATCATTTCTAACCGCATCATATTTGATTAACGGACTACCAACTCGGTCTTTCAACAACGAACACCTCATGAAGCATTTTTTAAATCTCTATCGGATTATTAATTTTTGAAAGTTTTTGGTTGTCAATACTTTCTTTGGCTTCATCCTTATAGGATGGACAATGTCTTAAAAAAAAAGGCTAGTAAACAGATCCGATGGCGTATAGATGGCATGCTTAAAACCTCGTCGAATGAAAACTTCAACTATATACATTAAGATAAAGATTATAGCTTTTTTTGTGAAAGAGGGAAAAAAAATTTTTTTGCTATTCTACGACTTGAGAACATTTGTTGATTTATGGCACAAAGAGAAAACAGTACGGTAGTGGCCGTGTGCCAAAAATTATTATTGAGTCCGAATCACAAAATTGAAGTTTACTTTATATTCATAAAATAATATGCCACTCTCAACCAATCCAAAGCGATTAATCATGAATGGATCAACTAATTTCTAACCCCACCTGTTTCCTTATGCTTCCTGAATAATCTTTTAAGTTTTTTTGTTTTCCTGAAAAAAGGTATAAGAGTTTTGTTGGCAAGAAATCTGGAATTCACACATCAAGGAACTTTATAAAGCAAGTACTATCATATACCACACATCTAGGAACTTCATATGGTAATTATAAAAGAGAAATTCCAACCTTCTAGATACCTACAAGGCCTAATTAATAATGATGAATTTGAAAATAAAGCAACGAGTGATATTGGATTTATTCTTGGGTGTATATCAGCTAGCTAGCTAAGAGCTAGCGATTGACTCAGACAAGGATAACGTCTGGATATTGCTTATAATTTGGTGTAATTGCGGCTTTTTGCTTGCTTGTGCTATATACATGTGTGTGTTTCTTAAACTCCAACAAATCACGTTTACTTTACAGCAATTATTTCTTGATGAATAGCGATTTATCACAAGAATCTCAAATACCCAAGTTAAAAGGATGTTTTGGAATAAATTGCTGCCTAAATTAACCATTTTAATTATATTATTGGTTGATTAATTATAAGATTATATTGTGGTTTCAAATTAAAAGAGTTTGAAAATTTATTTAGTGTGTCAATAAGTACTTATGACTCAACTTAACAATACATATAGTGTGTTCCTCCAAAAAATTGAGAATTCAAACCTCTTATCTCTTAAAAAGAAAAAAAAAACATAGAGTAATTTCCAATATATATATATATATATATATATAGTTAAATAATGTATATATATATATAGATATATATGATGCCATTAGCCTGCAACCAATCATTTGTACTCCACCCGTACAATTAACTATTGTATGAAATTGGTTTTAGATATTTCGTGAATTCTAGTGGTTTCTCTACGTACAGGCCCACTCTCTCCAGTGCCAAATATCAGTGCTCATAAGTCATAACTATTTATTCCCATTATAAAAATTATCAGCAACTTGCAGGAGAGGCGGAGGTTGACTTGTTCTATTTTTTTTCTTATTTCGCATTAAATATGGGCACGAACCTAGTTAGTTATGACTTTGTTTGTTTAGAAAAAATAATTTTTAATAAAAAAAAATGATTCTAAAGAAGTTGTTTTTCAAAAAAATTATTTGACGTTTGACAATTATATAAAAACTACTCGAAAAATATATTTTCGCGTTTATTTGATACGGAAAACTGAAATATAAAAACAGATTGTTATTTTTTCATTAACGAGTTTCGAGGGAACTTTAACAAGACATATTCACAATCTAATCATATAACATTATTAAAATATCTCACATCCATAATAGTTCGCTCATATACAAAAAGCTATCAAAACAGAACATATGAGTTACTGATATATTGGTATACCAAAACAGAAAGCATTAGTTATAATCAAGAATATATCGAGACAAAGACCCATGATGTTGAAATATCATTGGATCATAATGTTTTTTTTTTTTCATTCGGATATAGGAAATATTTTAAAATCAATTCACAATTGAAATTAAATCTTTTTCCAAAATATTTTAGAAATATATTTTTAAAATCAATAAAATACATTTAGAAAATTTTAATAAATTTTTATAAATACTAACTCTAAGATTTAAATTCAAAAAATAAAATTTATATTTTTAACCATCAAATAAATTCATCAAAACTACTTAGGACAAAATCAAGTCAATATTCATATTTAGTAAAATAAATAAATAAATCTAAGTAATCTAGCATTATTATTTTGGTAACTCAATTAAGATTTTTTTAAAAAAAAAATTGAACTGATAATTTAGTTTAAAAAATTGTTTTACAAATTATTAGTTATCATTTGAAGATAATTATTCATTTAGTTTCAAAAGATTAATATTTAAATAATTTATAACTAATTATTGACTATAATTATCAATAAAATTTTACAACTAATTAAAATTAATCACAAATTATTAATTTATTTACAAATGAATAATATTGAAAAAATAATATATTTATTAATGAATTAAGTGGTTTCAATTTTTTTTCAAAATTATAGTCTTGTAATAATCATTTTCAATCATTTAAGTATAGTTTAGGTAATGTTTGGGATAATAGTAAAAAAAAAATAGAGATAAATTATTAAAATATTTATTATAAAAATAATTTTAAGGTGCAAAAGAGGTTTTAAAGAATATTTAATGTATTTATAAATCAAAAAATCAAATGTTAGTAGAAATAGAGAAAAATAATTAAATAATTGATAAGAAATAATTAAAATTAATTTTTTATATTTTAAATAAAAAAGAAGATTAAGAAAAAAATTATTAAAATATATCGAGAAAGAGGTGAGTAACGCGAGAGCGAGACAACTAGTGGAAGAGAAAAAAAAGTTTTCTTTTTTTTTTTTATTTCGAAAGTCACTTTCTCAAAAATAGTCTATTAATTTTCGTCGATTAGAAATCAAATTCCGTTGATTTTTGTCTTAAACATGAAACAAACATCAAAAAATAAGAAAAAAGACATTGCATATTTATTTAAAAAATGAAGAAAATAAATTACTGAAACTTATTTTCTTTAAAACAAACGCAGCCTACATCGACCTGTACTCTTATTCTTTTCTTAACCTTTCATCTCATAACACTCCAACCATCCCACTAGCCTCCCCTCATGATTACTCCAAAAGCATTACATGTTTATTTTTTGAAGACGTCAACTAATATTAGTATTACGTGCTAAAGAGAAAAAGGGTAGCTTGAAAACTGTTAAAAAAAAAGGTTTAAATTCAAGAGAGGAACACAGCTAATATATTGACAGCAATAAAAATCAATCCAATTTCTTCTATCGTTATTACTGATCATCAACCTTTGTGTTATGGAATCCATATATGAAGTTGTAAAGGCCATAACTGGTGTCTGATAAAGTAGTGGCTTGTAAGTTGCATTCTTTGGAACTTATTCCCATATCTTTGATAAGATAAATTAAGGTTAGGCCAAAGAATCATGCTTTTTTCTTTGCTAATGACAAGACCTAAACGCAGAAGTTTCAATGATAGATGATCAAAGTAAACTAACATATTGGCCTACATACAAGATTTTCTTCAAAAGAGAGTATATATTATTGTGGCAACTAGAAATATATTTTCATTTTTAACTGATTTTTGCTTTTACTTCCCAGATGGCAAGCACTATTTTAGCTTACACAATAATGCAACACAATCAAGGACTGTGACAGAAGATCAGTACCACCACGGTTTTATTAATCTATAATAAGACAATTGTTAAATTAGAAAAGGTTAAAAGAATTAATCCCACTGGTACTTTCAAGAGTTTTTTTTTTAAAAAAAAAAAACTAGAAACAAAATAATAATAATAAGAATAATCTATTTTAAAATCATTATTGTTTAGACAAATTAAGGTACTGAAAAAACATAATGGCTCATTTGCAAAACTAATTTTATTTAAATAAACAACACCATGTAATGAAAAATTAACCAATGGATTTGAAATTCTCATTAATTCCCGAAACTATTGATCAGGAAACCAATTAAACGAAACCAGCTGATAACAATATTCATGGATTGAAAAACCCTACTCTTACAGGATACATAGTGCTCGTACTTCTCCTCTAACAAGCATCTATAACTGGTGCATATAAAAGCAAAAAAAATTTACATGGATCACGTTCTATAAAAAAGACATCAATTCTTTAAATTAAAAATCCATGCCAAACAAGTACTGTCTGTGGACAAAATTTGCATTCGATACTACCCCTCTAAACCAACTAATTAAGTGCTGTTTATTAACTTACAAGTCTACATCAAGATTGCATAGCGCATGCTGTCATTTACCATGAGATGATTCATCTCTGATAATTGCGCAAACTCACCAGTCACCCAGAGACCATCAGCACCATTGACATGAGGTTGTGATGAGAAGCAAGAAAGTATTGAAAATGGTGCAAGAACAATTCTGAATAGAACCGAAAGACGATTCAACCTTTGTGTTCTGTTCATATCACGAACAAGGATCGGAAATTCAGCTCCATTCATGCCTCCAAACATGCTTTCATCAGCTACTCGTGGGCTTTTCCCAATGTTTTGCACGTTGCTCCTCAATCTGGCCAACTTGCGCCACATGATTGTTTAGATGCTTAGGAACCTTGTAGGAATATGTATGGTGTTTAGAATTTCATTAGAAGCAAATTTTTGTGAAGAGAAGGATTGCAAGGTCAGCTTTTAAGATGGCTTTTTGATAATGGCAGGTTGGTGGTGGTGTTGTTAGTGCTAGTGTTTATCACAAAGGGGAGGAGTGCCTTTTTAAGGGCCTTTCACTTGTGTATTTTCTTTCTATTTTTCCTATTTTGTGGGGTCTAGCTAGGCCAACATGCCGACAACGTTGCCAAATTATTTACAAAAGATTTTCATCCGTATTATATATATATATATATACACACGCAAAACTCCACAATTAGGTTTAGGTAGCTAAGGTTTTATAACCCCTCCATGTAATATAATAATTATAATAATAATAATAATAACAATAACAATAACAAAATAAAAAAGGTAAGAACTTATATCATAAAAAAAAAAAAAAAGGTGGGCTGGGGGGGGGGGGGGGGGGTGTGAAGGAGGAGGAGGAGGAGGAGGAGGTAAGCTTAGAGTTTTATAAAATGTTCCAAACTAATTAATTCAGATGCCAAAGTTAAAAGATTTCAATGTCAATCTCACATTTTTGCAATCTATTACAGCAGAGACATTCTTTTTGGTTTGGGACAAAATACATATATAGGTTACTTGTAACATGTTATAATTATAAGAAAATCAATTTCAATTCCGAAACTTTATACATTTTTGCTGCGGTCAGTCCACTTTATCTCATTTTATCTTTTAAATTTTGTATTAGTATGAAATGAAGGTAAAATTTGACATAGCTTCACGATTTTAAGATGAACATAATCAAATGTGGTGGCATATATAGATTTATAAAATATTTTGATAATTAATTATACAAATACCAATTCAAAATAAGCATAAATGACAATTTTTTTTTTAATTAGTTATTAGGATTTAAAAGTTGAGGTCGATTTGGAGAAGTAAATTAGAGGCCAAATTGAAATATTTTGTTAATCATAGGGGAAAAATATATACTTTAATCCATAAAATTAATGATTTTCGCAAAGTAATACCATTTAGGCTAATATATATTTTGGATTTAGTTTAATTGATACAAAAATTGGTTGAAAATACCATTTAACTATAATATAAAAAAAAACATAATATCATTCTTGTAAAACTTAAAGAAAAATTATTATTACTTTTACATCTAAATTTCATAAAATATCTTATCAAAATATCGATCGTTATAGTAAATCAGTCTATATAATATTGGTATTGATATGTAGGTTGTTAATTATTATTTTTTATTCAATGATAAGGAATATTATCAACTCAATCAATTTATCCATCAATCGAAATTATTATTTTTTTCTCAAATGATTTTAAGAATATACCCTCCATATCGGTTTAGTATATTAAAAAATAAAATAAAATATTGATTTTAAGGTTTGAATTCGGAAATAAATTTTTCTTGATATTGGTTTTAAGATTCAAATTCAATATATATATCACATTTTTAACCATAAGCTAAATCCTTAAAAACAAAATATGTTGCACCTCTTTATTTTGTAACCTTTCAATTTTTTATTTATTTATTCTTTTTTTTAAAGGAGGGTCAATAACGATTAAGTAACCCTCTGCCTCATCTACGTCCTCCCCGCACTACAAAAAAAACAAGTCTGTTGCGACTTTAAAATACATTTAACGACAGGTTTTGGTGTTGATAGAAATGTCCCAGACCCCATTGCAAGGGCCACAATTTGAGTGATAAAACTTAGGATATAAACGTTAAAACACATGGCAACAGATAAGTGTTAAAAACCCACCTACATACAATGCATCATTAAGCTAGGAGATGGGTCCTCAATATGGATCCAATTTAAGAATCAATACTTGTTTGTGAATTGTGATGGTGATGGAGACCCATGATCTCAGGACCTCCTCTACTAATTTATCGTGCCTCCAACTTGTTATTAACTTGCACTACATATTCCTTCGTATCAACTGTAATGTTGCAAAGAACCGAACCTAAGAACCTTTATAGACTGCCCGACTTTCTCACCATAGCCTATCCCCATTAATTTCTTCAAATTTGAATAACTTTTTTCTTTAGTTACTTTTAACCATCAGATTATTTTAGAAGTAAATTTTTGTATAGACATTAGATATAACTTTTTTTGTCAGGTCTTAAAACGCGTATTTATATCCAGTATTGTTTTTAAAAACTCTAAACGCACTTTCACGTTGGATCTACTAGAGCTTAAACTTAACAAGCAAAATGAAGGTGTGTGCTCGAGGGAAGTAAGGCTCAACCTTTATTATAAAATATGTAATAATTTAGATTAGTTAGATTATAAAGATGAGAACCGTTAAAAAAATTAGGTTATTTTTGCAAAAGAGACAAAAATGGAGATGCATTCGTGAGCCGAAAAAAACAAAAGAAAGAAGTGGAAGAAAAAACTAATGAAAAGAAGGAAAAAGAAGAAAACCGAAAATTAAAGGGGGAATGAGAGGTGAAGCCAAGCAAAAAGAATCTAGAAGAAGGGGAAAAAGAGACCGGCGAAAAAGAGATCGGGTTGTTCCCAATCTAGTTCAAAACATGTTTAGCGATAGCTCAATTGTCACCAGCCACGACCTAGGCTATCTCGCTTGAAGCTCCCTCCACTCCACCACCTCAATAAGCCAAAACCAAGCACGCTTCAAGGGTAATTTTTTCCTCCACTTTCATTTTGGCATCTGATTTATTGTTTATTTATTTTTAATTTGGTTCTTCATTTGAGATTTTATGAAACTTTTGTTAATCGTGCCCGGTTTCAAGATGCCTTATGAGTCTTAGACCATGAAGACTTTTAAGAAAGAAAAAGGTGGTGTCAATATCTATCAATGAGCCTAGAAGGACGAGATGCATTGTGATGTCTGACTTTAATTTCGTTTGATTTGATATTTATTTGTGTGATGGTCATGTTTTCTGAATTTGTTGTTAATTTTTTATATGTTTGTTCTTTGTTTTTGTCATGTTTTTATGTCTGTTTTGGAGAAAAAATTCTTTATTTTTTTAATTATGTTTTTACCATTTCAACGTGTGTCAATTGTGTTTTTCATGTTAAAAATCATGCGTTAATTTTTTTATGTTAGTTTAATGTATGTAACGACCTTGAGAGTGGACCATAATTGACACGAGGATCGAGAGGACCATGAGACCCATCTCCACCCAAACAAGCCTCATATACGAATCTAAACCTCAAATCATGACCAAACTTGTATTATAATCCTCAATTCAATATCACTTAAATTATCATTAAATATCAACATAATTATAACTTAATAAACATTTCCTCCATATTAATACATCTCATGAATTCCATACTATTCTCATTTTAATATCCAAGATCAACATTCTTAATCAATTTCTAATACTCTACCCATAATTATAATTGCAGAGCATGTAAGATAAAGCAAATCAAAACATACATAGGTAGTAAGGAATTACAATGAAGGTAAGTCGCATGACCAAAGTGCCAACTTCACGAAAAGTAACCAAAAGGAAGTAATAACTAATCCCTCAATATCTCGCAAAAATGAAATAATAAGGAATGAACAAACCACGACTCGAGTGAACGAGAGATTATATAATATACTAAGGAAGAAAAACGGACTACGGACGATGTTCTCAAATCTATGTCAAAATGCAATACTTATTCCTTAAAAACATATGCATATCGAAAACATAATTCATATCATAAATCAAATGGTTTAAAACTATTTTGTATCAATTCATCAAAACACATATCATACATATACCGTATTCATATGAAAACATATATATATAGGCTTTATACATCGATGGGGTAATAACATATCTTTGGGTGTAAACATCCAAAAGTCACGCCCCTCGTGACTAGGTTTTTGCATGTTGGTCGACATACGGTCTAGCGTTACACCTCTCCCGCTAGATGGAGCCTCGTATTATTGAGCTCAAAGGCTACCCCCTAGTAGCTAGGTTTCCCAAGGTCTTAAAAACATTTTTAAAAACCAAATACACTTATACATTTTCAAATCGATATTTCAAATATCATGCATGCATTTTTATAAAATACACATGTACTTAAAATGACAAACATAACATAATCGTTTAAAACCAAAATTACATATCAATTTCAATAATATGTTGAAATCTCTTTTCCATTCATATCAAATCATTTTGATATAAAAACATTTTAAATATTTAGAATGTTCGTTTCCATCTAAATTCTACTAGAATGCCTATAAATCGTTCATAAACAATGATGCATGATGGATAATTCAAGAACTTTAAAACATAATACATAATATAATATTAACTCACGAGTATAATTGGCGAACCAAAAGAAAATCAAGATGGTTGGGATAGAGTCACTTGCTCCAAAGAATCTAGTATCACAAAACGATGGATCATCCATCAACATTACATAAAAAGGAATGATCCAAAACGATGAAAACAAGCATATAAGATTATCGAACAAAATGGAATCAATTGGAAAGACTAGAACTGAAAACCTAATTAGTTTCTATGATCCCTTAATTGATTATAAACAATCACTTAATCATATTCCTTTACCAATCTTCAATCCATCCTTAAACAATCAACTAACCCTTAATATCCATCCTTAAACAATCAACTAACCCTTAATTCGATCAAATTACTAATTATATTCTAATTCACCCAATAATCACTCCATTCATCTTTAATAATAATTTTATAACTTAATTTCTCATTTTCCTTAGAGTTCTTTCCAATTAAAACCTAAATTCAGATTTGTCACTACTCATCATCTTTAACGTCTCAATTTCTCAAATTCATTCAATTTTACTTCAAATTAACTCCTTAATTCACTTGCTCAAGACAACTAAACATCAATTAAACACCTAGAATCACTTAATCAAAATTTTCTCCAAATGGGTCTTAAGAACCCCGACCTCAATCTAAGCAATTCGTCGAGCAAATCATTAACTCAAAGCAATCTCAATTCTATATCATCATT